AGCCAAAACCAGTACACAGCTGAAAGGATGTAAAGGACAGACATTTTATATATAAATCATCCAAAACTAAACTTCAATATCTACTACTACTAAAAACAGAACTTGAGATTTATAATAAGTAGAAATTTGTTATACATTTATAAAATAAATAACGCATAGGCTGAACTTCTGTTTCACTGGAAATCTTCCTGGAAGAGTCACTTGTAGACTTTGTGTCTTGTATACAAATTATACCGGCTGCATGAGTAAGCTTTACTACTTGAGCTTTCTGAGGTTCCCTTGAAGTTTGTTTGAGTCCTCTCCTTTTGAGTATACTCCCAGTTGCAGTTCATGGAAACAGAGGTGTGTAAAATTTGGGGAAAGCCCTCTGTAACTGATACGCTAACTACAGCTGTGAAGCCTGGTATCCAGTGCAGAATTCTTGGCTTTCTTGAATAGTGCTGAGGGGAGGATCTTTCCTAGCTCAGTAACAGAAAGAGATCCATAATCCTACCATAGCTATTCCTAAGAAGACTGTTCCTTCTTCAAAGTTGGAGTGGCTTTGTATTGGCCTCTGGTTAACTTGTTGCTTTAGGCACATAAATACTTGGTTTTTCACATTATGCCATACTTTGACCAGGTTTTAGTGTTCAAGGCAAATCTTGTGTCTGGTAGGGTTTCTTTTTATGATTAGAAGTCAGCTACAGTCAAAAGTAATAATTAGTAGCCAAACTAGCTCCTTTGGATAAAACTGAGAAGATAGGCTGGGGGAATAGTGTGAAGGTATGAGTATTCTCTGCGGGCTCTTTTCCACCACTCATTAATCAAGAGTGAATTAAGGGATAAAGCTGAAAGCCATCTGCTGTGTGGAACAAGTTTTCAGGAAGGCTTTTGTTCCCTGTGCCTGGCCATGTTACAGCTGTTTTTCATGGAGGTGAATTGACAAGTATGAACTACGTGTCTTTCTGCATCTGAGGTAGTGTAGGGTCCCTGCTATATCATAAACCTCAGATCTATCCAAGTGTAAGTGGGTTGCTGTTCAAAGTTGAGTAGCAGCAAAACTGGTTCGGAATGAGTATCTGTAATGTGTTTGTGAAGAATTGCTTTTGCTGATAAAACTTTAAACAGCTTGAACTTCACAAGGGAAATCAAGCATTTCTATGCTCTGCTGTTCTAGCTGAAGTACAAGACCTTGAACTCACAGCTCTATGCAGCACTGGCTAGTGAGACAGATTGTTTCTTTTGGAATATGCTATTTCTGAGGTCTCAAAATCACTTGAAACTGTTGACTACTGCATAGGACACATACTATCTATACTACCATTTGTCGGGTAATGAAGCATGTCAAGTGGTGAGGTTCTCTTGATTTTCCTAGTTCATTTTGTCTAAATTAATGCAAGTCTTGTGGTACAACCTAAATATGCTTCACCGAATGAACAAATACACTTTAATTACCTCAGAGCACTTTATTTGCTATGTGCTTGTTTTAGCATTGGTTTGGTATGAGATGAGAAGTATACATGTGACTAAAGGGTTGGTTGATCGTAAGGTTATGAAGTCTACTACCTACGTACAGTTGCCGCGTGTTTCTGCTTTGATTTTCTTTGCAGGCTCTAGGGCAAAATCCAACAAGCAGTTTGAGAGGCTGCTTCTTTTGTTGCTCATCACTTTGGTTTGTTTATTGATTTCCCATATTATATGTGGGCTTTTCAGAGAGAGACAGCCTTTGGCAGAGGGAAGGGGATATAACCTCTTCTGTCATTTGAATGGAGCAGTTCCTTGTTGCAACCATAGTCTGGTTTAGAGGAATATAAATTTTCTGGTATTCTTGTATTTGCTTTTATCTTCCTTCTGTTTTCAGCAGGGAAAACCTTGGGCTAACGCCTTTCCAGGTCAAAAGAACCTTGATTTCATATGTCCTCTGAAAAACTGTTTTGTACTGCGTCTGAATTTGTCTGACAGGATTTTTACTGTTTCTTGCTTACTTCCTTTGTACCAGAATTTCAGGGGACTAAGGTCTGGAAAGATGTGGGGGACAGAATCTTGTTCTATGCTGCTTGAAGTGAAGCAGCAGTGCCATACTCCATACTGTTCTTGGAGAGCCAGCTCTAAGGAAGGCCTCTCCCTTAGAACTGTTGTCTCTGCTATGTTTATGAATGTGAAAATACAAGCTGGACAGATTTTTTCAGTGGCTTTTCAGTATTTTTTGGGCTTTTTTTTTCATCTTTTGTAGCCTCTGCCATTTGTTGACGTGTAGCCTGGGATGTTTACTATCTGTCTGGAATTCTGGTTCTGAACTTAAATTATGACAACTCTATGTAAAAACTAGGAAGCAAGCAGTGATGCACTCTTCAGATGCTCATTTTAGAATGCATGCATTCATAAATAAATAAGCTCTTGTTGAAAACTCCTTAGCTAGCTGTCTTGGACGAAATTGTGAGCAGTGAGTCTTGCAAATTTTCCAGAACTACTGAAGTAATCATAGTTGATACTTATTCAACAAGGATTTTCTAATTGAAGCACTGATTTTCAGTTAGGTGTGTATGTATTTTGTAAGCTATACATTTGGTAGTCCAGTTTCAGTATTGCTTTAATTTTCCTGAGTGTCTTCATGTACTTCTCTTTTTCGCAGGGCAAGTTCTAGTCCTCAGTGAATTAAAAGAACTGTATCTATGGCAAGCCTAGCTTCCATGTCAGTACAGTATAACTCTCTGTGGCAATAATCCTCAAATTCAACCTGCTGCAAAGATATCAAAATTTCTTATGGCTGCAAGCAGCCCTGAATTGTTTGAATGGCATTAATGCACTCTTTTAATCTCTGAAAAACTGCAAGAGAGCCCTTGGAGATTTCTTTATTATTTTTTCTATGTACTAATCCAAGTCTAAATACAAGCCTTTCCAAAAGGAACTTAAAATCAAATTGCATTCAGCAATACTAATAAACTTATTCTAGATATTTCTGTAGCAGCTTTTGTTTCATGTTAATTAAAATTGAGGAAATGGGTGACTTTTTTATTCTCCAACAAAGAAATGAAAAGAGCTGTTGACTAGCTCATATCCTTTGTTCATTGTTACCATGCTAGGAGTAGGAAATGGAAATAGCTGACAGGGTTTCCTTTCTGTACATCTTGCCTTGTTTCTTTGCAATGAAAGAATGTTTGTTGCAATAATTCTTATATACTGACACATGGCACTGGTTCTCTGCTAATTATTTCACTTTTCTTTTTAAACAGTCAAGTCCTTCATCTCCAGAGCCAGCAAGTCTTCCTGCAGAAGACCTCAGCACAAATTCCAATGGTCCAAAGCCGGCAGAAATCATGCTAGATGATGACAGAGAAGACCTCTTTGCTGGTAATGCTACTTTCTTCTAATGTGTCTGCATAAACTCTTTTCCTCTTGGACTGAAAGGAATGTGCTTTTCTGGGAAGGAGGGTAAAAACCTTTTTATGCTGTAAAAGGTCATTTTCTTGGCTGCAAGGAAATATGAAGCAGTTACCCAGCAATGGAAACTTCAATTTTAATTTTACACAATTTAGTATTGTAGCAAATCTTGACTGTTGCTTAACCTGTTGAAGGTATGCTTCTTGGAAAATTCATTAAATCAAGCCATCATCAGTCTTTCTTTCCCAAGTTCAGCAACCATGTATTTAATTGAAGTCCTATGATCTTCTGCAGTGTGTTGTCAGGTTTATGAACTTCCAGGAGAAATAACCCGTGGGGGAAAAAAAAAAAAAGGAAAAATACCTGAGAATCTTCTTTGGGCAAAGTTGTTTGTTTTACTGTTGTTAACACATCTTGCTATTGATTGTATATGGTTGTAAAACTGTTTTGGAGTGCAGCCTTTCATTTCAAACTCAAAGTAGAAAACTTAATCTTGCTTAGTAGTGAAAAGAAAGTGGTACGTGACTTTTCAGGATTAGATGAGTTTTGTTAAAGTGTTGTTGATAAATTAGGAATATTTTCTCATCAGATTTGCACATATTGTCTCAGATGCAAAGACTTCAGTTACTCTTGACGTTATGTATTTTTGTAGCGTAACTATTAATTGCTCTCTCATATATTGGATTAGTAGCACTTTGAGAAACTTAATAGAAAAGTTTAAATTTCTTAAGTAGTTTTACGATGATTTTTTTTCTTGTGGGACTTTGTAGCATTAGTTAAGTTTGTTTAAATACAGGTTTCTCAGTGCTGTGTACTGCCTCAGTGTGGCTGTGTTAGCTGGTTAGTAATGTGATCTGCTGACAGTAATAACAGTATTTAGCATTATGTAATTAACAATATTCAAATCTCTGTGTAAAAATATGACTTAGGTTACATCCTAGTTTTCACCTTAATAACCATACATAAGCTGTCCCAGTCTTTTTTCCAATTACAAAGAAATGTAATTCAGATCATACTGCAAGCTGGAGGGTATTTCCTTTTTCATAAGACACTTTTTTGTTATTATGAAAAGGTAACAAACTGGCATATGGGACCAGTCCAATCATTTCACTAGTGCATGATTTTGTCTTTATTATTTGGCAGTACTACATGTTTTGGAGAAAGATGTGTGAAAGTTTTGATAAATAATCAGTCAATAGACAACACATTCCTAATGCTGCATTAAACAGTCACTATTTTGGTGTTCGTTTTTGACTGTCCTAATGTGGGTTATGGTTGCTGTCAGTTATAGGTGTAGGAACGTTAACTGTTCAAGAAAGGAGGTGTAATACTTGGAGTATATTAAGTACTTCAAAAGGCGGTTCTGAATGCTGCTTCTCAATACTAACGCTTCCAGTTGCTACATATTGAGTGAGTCAGTCGGTTGGCAGTCTGCTTTGAGTACAGTCCTCATCTCATCTTCATTGATTCCCTGATGTAGTAATTCAAAAAGAAACTTTATAGCCTTTAGTTTGGGGCTATTTTGTATAAATAGGTGTGTACACATGCTCATTACCTTTGTTCTGAACTTACTAAATTTGTATTTGCGTATATTTGAAATTGTATTTGCTCATGACACTGTTAGAATGTATTGACTAGTTTACTAACTCTCTAAAAGTGTTTTAAGAGAGGGTAAAGAATAGAGGATAATCCTACTTCTTTTGTATTTGTATTACCTAATCTTATGACTTATAAAGACCAGCAGTGCTTTAGCAATGAAGCTTTCTAGTACTAGTAGTTTGGTTATTTAGCTGCAGTATATAAAGCAAGCTTTTTATAACCACAGAGCCATCTGGCATGGATATTTTAGGAAAGCCAATTCTCCTTTGGATAATATTAAGAAAAAAGGTGGCTGGAGTAAATATTGAGGGGAACCAGACAGAAGGAACAAATGTTAGCAGCCAGATTGTTTTAACTGAAATGAATGCTGTGAGGAAAACACACAGAACTGATTTAATGAGTTTGAGTTTTGCTATGGAAGACGTTCTGTTAAATGCATGCAGCACTGAACTGAAAGCATGTAATGTACTGTATGTCTAACACAACTAAGACAGGTCAATTTATATACAGACTGAGGCTAGTACAAACTCTCAAACAGTGGGGAAAAAGCAAGAGTGATTTATGGAGCCTTAGGCATCATATGACATCTTTCACAGTATCCTGTTATAAGTAGGAAGTTTGCATAATACAGTTGTACCCTAGTGATGAACTTCTGTCTTTGTATCGCTGTCAGCATAGGCGTTGTCAAAAACAGTGTCTAACTTGTGTTTCAGTACTGTGCACGCATAACTATTTTTAATTTCATAGGACTGTTTTGTTAGACAATTATGTTAATCCATCTGATTAACTTTCTGATACTGATTTGCAATGAATAGAAACGATGTGAGCAGGCGACATGATATGTCTATTTTCTTGCTTCTGGCATGATTGCCTAAGCCTTGCTTTCTGAGAAAGCAGGACTTAATTTACAAGTGAGTGTAACTGGGTTTTTTCTCTTCAACATGGTGAAATTCCAAAGAAACCTGTCTTTGCACAGCTTGTAAGAATGCTTAACTGGAGAGGAAGAGAATAAGGTTCCACAGCTTTCTAACTTATGTTGTTCCTTCATATTGAATTATTAGATACTATAAAATGCAGGTCAAGGAAATCCTATGGATGGCTCCTGAAAGGAGAGACTGACTGTTCAGGGGCATAAACCTTGTCTACCTTGACTTCAGCAAGGCTTTTGACACTGTCCCATAACATCCTCATAGGGAAGCTCAGGATGTGTGGGCTGGATGAGTGGACAGTGAGGTGGACTGGAAGCTGGCTGAATGGCAGAGCTCAGAGCATTCTGGTTGACTGTGCAGAGTCTTGTTGGAGGCCTGTAGCTAGTGGGGTTCCCCAGGGCTCAGTACTCAGCCTGGTCTCATTCAACTTATTCATCAATGACCTGGACGAGGGGACAGAGTGTACCATCAGCAAGTTCGCTGATGACACAAAAGTGGGAGGAGTGGCTGATACACTGGAAGGCTGTGCTGCCATTCAGCGGGACCTGGACAGGCTGGAGAATTAGGTGGAGAGGAACCTGATGAAGTTCAACAAGGGCAAGTGTCGAGTGCTGCCCCTGGGGAAGTTGAACCCCATGCACCAGTACAGGCTGGGGGCTGACCTGCTGGAAAGCAGCTCTGCCGAGAGGGACCTGGGAGTACTGGTGGATGACAAGCTGACCATGAGCCAGCAGTGTGCCCTTGTTGCCAAGAAAGCCAATGGCACCCTGGGGCACATTAAGAGAACCGTGGCCAGCAGGTCGAGGGAGGTTCTCCTCCCCCTCTACTCTGCCCTGGTGAGACCGCATCTAGAGCACTGCGTCCAGTTCTGGGCTTCCGGTTCAAGAAAGATGAGGAACTCTAGAGAGAGTCCAGAGGAGGGCTACAAAGATGATGAGGGGACTGGAGCATCTCCCCTATGACGAAAGGCTGAGGGAGCTGGGCTTGTTTAGCCTGGAGAAGACTGAGAAGGGATCTCATAAATGCTTACAAATATCTTAAGGGTGGATGTCTTAAGGACTGAGCCAGACTCTCTTCTCAGTGGTGCCCAGTGACAAGACAAGGGGCAATGGGCACAAACTGAAGCCTGAGAGGTTTCAGTTGAATATGAGAAAGAATTTCTTTACTTTGAGAGTGACAGCACTGGAACAGGCTGCCCAAGATGTCCTGTGCAACCTGCTCTAGGTGAACCTGCTTTAGCAGGGGGTTTGGACTGGATGATCTCCGGAGGTGCCTTTCCACCCTCCCCATTCTGTGATAAACAATTCTAGGTTTGCAAACTTATTTGTAAAAATGTGATAGTATGCCTCTCTAGCTGTTGTAGGCTTGATAGATCTTTTTGATTATTATGTGTAATAATACAACCTAATAGAAAAAGAGGTGAGGGAGAAAAAGTTACATGGTTTCCTCTACTGTTTTAATGCGGTTCAGAATTGTTGGGAGGGAGGCTTTTTTGACTGTACGCAAAACCTCTTTGCTATTGTGTTTCTGCAGCAGCTACAAGATAGTTTATGCAATAAGGTGTTTTAGATACTCATTACATTGTGTCTGGTGACTCGTCACTGCTTTCACTGAACTATTAAAACTGTATTTCAAAGGTGGAGGAAAGTGAGTTTTCCATCTGTCGTTGGAGACCGGTACATTTTGCTATGGCCAAGTAAGACACCTAGATTTCATTTTTCATGTAAATACTAATACCGAATATTTCAAAACAAACCCACAACCCAATACTTAAGTTTTCAGGGGAAAATCTAAAATGAATAAATCAAGCAAATGTTTCTGAAAGTGCCATAGTTTCTCCTCTGAAACCTACCAAATTCATTATTCTGTTAAAAAAAAACAAACCACAAAACAAACAGAAGAATTGTCCGTGAAACTTTTTAATCTAAACCATGTCATCTGGTTTCTCAAAGTGAAAGAATATGCAAGAAGTATAAATGCCAGAGTTCATCAGAACAAATCTATTTCTTTGGAACTAGATCTTCAGCTTACTCAAAGACTGCTTTTCCAAGGGGAAGAAAATAGCTGGAAAGTGTGAGAGCCTTCTGTTGTTATATACAGCTAGTACTTCTTTTCCTCTTCAGAATCTTCCAATGCTTGTGTTTTAAACAAAAAGTACAATGTCCTTGTCTCTGTCCTGCTCTATCCACTCACCTGCTTCCACTGTCTTTTCCATCTCACTCTTCTAGATTTATGTAATGTCCAGGATGCATGCATACTTAGGGGTGAGAGGTAACAGGAGGGAGGATGGCATAAATTCTACATCTTCCTAAAAGAACTGACCTGCTGCTATCAAACAAAAAGATAGTATTTTCTCTGGGTAAGTTTCTCCAGGAAAATAGAAAAGAAGGGTTAGTAGGCAGCACCTTTAAAAATTTGCTCATGTCCAACCAACCTGGGGTCGTGCAGCTTTAGAAATACTGGTGTGGATGAAGGCTGATGTTGCTGGTCTCGATGAAAGCAAACTACCTTGCCTTTCCAGCTGCTTGTTCCTGCCGCTTTCTGTTTTACAGAAATAATGTGCCAGCTTAGCAGTATCTTCAGCTATCTGCAGAACAGTAGCAGGGGGCTAATCCTGGTTGGAGTTCATGTGATACATGCCCCAGATCAGTTCATGACAGTAACGTGTGTGTGGACGCAAGCCTGAAAAAGAGGAGTTCTGGGAAGCAGTGTGCTTCTGTTTCATCTGATAGCAGTGCTGCTTTGTTACATCAAATTCACACTTTTTTCATGAAGTCATGCTCTTACAGTAACAGGAATGTTTTGTCAGCTGATGAAAGTGAGAAATCTGTGCTTTGAATTGTTTCATGACTTGTTTTATAAGCCTGTCTAAAATTGGAAGGTGCAGAGAAGTGCTTAGTGGTGATTAATGGTTTGTGTCCCAAACACACATGCTAGAATATAGCTGGTGATAGAAAAAGGAAGAATTGAAGGGGATTGGCTTCATTTTAGAAGGCTTTTTGTATTTTATACTATATTATATATGTAACATACTATGTTTTGTATGTAGATATAATTTTTTCTTAGAAACATTTTTGTGAAAGTCATTTGTATAACATATAAACTGTATGTTGAATGCTGGTAGCCACCAAAGGAGGGAAATACCTCTTTTCCATGTTTGAATACTGTTGTTCTACCAGGCTAAAAGGGGTTTTTTTGCAGCTGTCTCAGTTGCAAAAGCATGACTTCCCACCTATCTGAGGTTTTGAATTAAAGTTCTTTATTGGTTTAAGAGGCAGTATCCTTCCTGTGGCATTTGAGGGCGGGAAGCATCATCAGGATTCTTCAGAAGGGTTTAGCAGGAAGAATAAAGCAATGGTAGGGAAACAAATCTTTTCAAAAAAAAGCTCTCAGATAATCTTTGTTCTTATTAGAAATGGAGAACATAAAAAGCTGCTTGCTTTTAAGTTTAGTTTGAAAATACTATGGAAATCTGTAATTTGAAATTAGGAAGAGCATCAACCATAGGTTGAGGGGGGTGATCATTACCCTCTGCTTAGCCCTGGTGAAGCCAAACCTGGAGCGCTGAGTCCAGGTCTGAGCTACCCAATACGAGAGACATATGGACAGACTGGAGTGAGTCCCGTGCAGGGCCATAAAGATGATTAAGAGTATGAAGTGTACAGTGTAGGAGTAGAGACTGAGAGAGCTGGGGCTGTTCCGCCTGGAGATAAGCAGACTCGGGGGGAACACTACTATGTGTATAAATACCTAATAGAATGGAATGGAGAAGAGGGAGCCAGCCTTCTCCGTGGTGCCCATGGGACACGACAAGAGACAGCGGGCACAAATTGAAACACAGGTAATACATAATGAAAAAAAGTTGTTGTTTGGTTGGGTTTTTTTAATGGTGAGGGTGGTCAAGCACTGGTACAGGTTGTCCAAGGAGGAGGTGGATTCTGTATCCTTGGAGATGCTCAAAACCCATCTGGATGTGGTCCAGAGCAGCCTGCTGTAGCTGACCCTGTTTGAGCAGAAGGGTTAGACTACATGATCTGCAGAGGTCCTTTCAAAGCTCAGCAATTCACATCAAAGTGATGACAGCAAACTTTGTTGGCCTCAAGCCAGAATGAACATCTGTTTCAAAACAGGTTAAAGCATAAAACAAACCTTGAAGTTTGTTTTTTCAATTTATTTTGAGCTTCAGTGTCAAACAAAATTTAGGCACACAGTTATTTTCATCCCTGAAATAAAGAAGTGTGGTTTTGTTCATTTATGAAAAACATCAAGGATTGGCAAAAAAAGTGTTACAGAAGAATAGAAAATAGAATTGACTAACAGAATATCTCTGAGTGGCAGCAGGGATAAAGCTGAAGTGGTTTTGATACATTGATTATGAAAGATCGTAATATTACTTTTTTCAGTAATAAATGATATGGTTCATCGGATGCTATTTCCAGTTCTGTTTTTACATTGCTAGTAGATTACAGGTGGTTCTGGAGAAGCAAACAATCCTACATAGGACAAAAATCAGAGGGTGGGTTTGTTTTTTACGCACAGTTTAACTATTTCACAAATTTTTACATAGATCTGATTTTTAAAACTCCTCTTTTCTTAACCATTGAGTGAGGACTAGTTATATTCATTATACACACTGGGCCTTAAAAAGATTGGAAGAAAGTCAAGTGGCTCATGTAGACAGAAGTTGCAGAGACAGCTCTTTTCCAAATTGCATAGTAAACCTTTTAGGTAACTTTGTGTAACTTGGAATGGATTTGGTTCAGTGCCTTTTTACCTGCTTGGTGAAGTACTTGCCACAGGAAGTCTAGTTTGTAACAAGACTTGAGATCAGTTGGGAAGTCAATTTTGGTACCAAATGACTGTTCTGTGGTCAGTATTATCTTTTAAGGAACTAGGATTCTTGAAAATGCACATTTAGCAAGAACCACAGCATTAGTTATTTAAACTACAACAGGAACTTCTCTATACACAGGAAGCATGCAGTTTGACAGTGGTCAAAACCAGTTAGTGGAGGAAAGCATGTGGGATTTGTAGAGCAGAGATTTACAATCTCTTTAAAGTTGAATGAACTGTTTCTACGGTCTGAAGAAAGTATTCAGTTTCTAGTGAATTATTTTAAGCTCTGAAGGGACTGAAGATAGAGACTAAAGGTAGTTAGTCTTACTAGGCAGAATGTCTCACCTGCTAATTTTTCTGTTTAACAGGTTGTGGGCTTTTGGTGAACGTGGGGGTTTATTATGGTTGTGTAACTTCAATATGCGCCTGGTCTGCTCAGTTATCAGCCTATATCAGTAAATCAGCTGTTGTTCAGAGTGCAGGAACTAAAATTGGTACAGGTGCTGAAAAAGAGCTGCTTTTGTGGTAAAAAAAATTCATGAGTTTTCACAATATCTCCTGCACAAATAAATTACTTGCCACATGGAACTACTTTAAAAGACTCTTTACCTAACAGTATATTTAAAAAAAAAATTGCAATATTAATCTTACTTTAATCCATTATGCACTAGAAACTCAAACGTCACATTGAATTTTAGCTGTGTGTTGAAAGAGATTGTCCAGCACAAATGGATGCTATTTACAGATGGTCTTACTAAACTCGTAGGTCATAATTTTTCAGTCTGCATGTTTTTTATCTTTGTGATGCACATCCAACTCTATTGCACAAAAACTTTGCTAACTTGAAATGTTTATCTAGAAGCAACAGAAGAAGTTTCACTGGACAGTCCAGAGAGAGATCCAATACTTTCGCCAGAACCTACTCCTGCGATCACTCCTGTAACACCTACTACATTAGTAGCTCCCAGAATGGAATCAAAAAGCGGAACAGCCCCTGTGATTTTTGATAGATCCAGAGAAGAGGTACACAGTAAACTTCTAAATTATGTAAATGTCTTGTTTGTTTTTTGAAGTTTTTTCTTCTTTTCAAATGACGGTTCCTAAATGTTGACTCCCAGGATCATCCTTTGCTAAGGGGAGGTATGCAAAAGAAAACCTATTCTGTTTATTTTGCATATGAAGTTTAGTATGAATTTGACTTATGGAAATACTATAACAATTCATTATTTAGGTGATAAAGTTGGAGATCTGTAGTGTGAGGAGTAAGATGCCCCATTCCTTCAAAATATTGTAAAAGAGTATGCAGGAGCAAGCCATCAGCCTGATACAGGAAAAATGTTAATGATGAGAAATGTTAACTCTTACTAGCATATTACAGGTTTCAGCTTGGATTTCTGAAGCTGTTGTTAATGGGGAAGTGGAGGAAGTGGTTGTTAGCATTATCCTTCATGCTAACAAACAGCTGAGGCTAATGGTAGTTTTAACATTGCTGTTTACGCTTGGTGTTCCATTCAAAGCCTGGGCATTGCCAAATGCCATTCATTCTGGAGTGCTGTCTTACTAGACAGTGCCTCTGCTAAATGAGCTTGCAAACAAGACTTGCCTGTGACTCAATGATGGCTGCGTCCCCAGATAGCACAAGATGGCATTTTATTCTGATTTTCCCTCCCTTCATCCCTTTCTGCTACAGTGTTTCTTAAGATCTCTTTTTATCAAACTTATGTCTATTTCATAAAAGATTATGAAACTCCGCATGAATAGAGTTCAGGCAAGTATCAGAAAATTCTCTGTTACTTTTCCCTTCCCAAGCCCTTCTGCTACAGATGCCATTAATAAAAAGGAGTATCTGTCCTTTCATTAGAGGCCTTTAGAAACATCACGAATGAGTGGTTTTTGAACCATAGTATCTGCTGGCATTGGAGGAGTTACAATGAACATGCCCCTAACATAAATATTTACTAAAAATTTTGAGGCCAACAAGTTCTGAGAAAAAGCTGCTGTACTAAAAGCTTTTGCAGGAAGGCTTAAAACTAAAATCATAAAATCATAGAATAATTTAGGCTGGGAAAGACTCTTAAGATCATAGAGTCCAACTGTAAACCTAACACTGCCACATGGACTTTGTTGCAGTGACAACCAGGGTTAGAAATTGTATTCACTTAACATTGGATGGTGGGTCTGGAAGGGTTTTTTAATTATACAAACATACTGACTTTTCCTCCTCCTTCCTTTATACCCTTATCCTTGTAATCATACATAACATGAATGCACATTACCTTCTTAAACATGGCATGTCTTCTTCCCAGATTGAAGAGGAAGCAAATGGAGATTTGTTTGATATAGAAATCAACGTATCAGACCCGGAAAAAGTTGGTAAGTTCCTTGAGCCTAGTAAGTCAGGTGGTAGACTGTCTTATCCCTTGAAAACTATTCTGAGATTTTAGCGTGACTTCCTATTCAGTTACCTTTTGGCAGTTTTTAGTATCTAAATGTAAAACTATTTAATGTATATTTTGGAACAAAGAGTGTGTGGAAGGATTAAAAGAACTTGCCCTAGGATAACTATCTTAATTTTCTTACAGGAGATGGCATGAATGCTTATATGGCATACAGAGTAACAACAAAGGTAACTAGAGCAACAAATATTTGCAGATAACTTTGTATCATAGCTGAGTAGATGGATCAGTAATTCATAATGATTTTTTTTTTAAGACATCACTTTCCATGTTCCACAAAAATGAATTCTCTGTTAAAAGAAGATTCAGTGATTTTCTTGGCTTGCACAGCAAATTAGCAACAAAGTACATGCACATTGGTTACATTGTGCCTCCAGCACCAGAAAAAAGTATTGTAGGTAAGTATAGTTCCTGTAAGGTTCAATTTAAGCATGTCATTTAAGTACTGTAATACAAACTAAGTATTCTAATACCTGTTGGCCTTGTAAAATAAATACTTTTCTGCACAGATATTACCTACTGCTTATTAGGTGTTCCAAACTATTAAATATTATTCCTGTTCTGTATTTTTAAAAAAATAATTTTAAGTTGGAAAGATGTGTACTGGCCTCTTCCTAACTCGGACCAGTGTTGATAATAAGGACGTTTGTCTTAATACGTGGCCTTCTGTTTCTTATCTATCATTCTTTCTTCACTGTTGCCCTTCGAGAGCTGATTAGTCTATCAAAACAAAGATGTTAAATGAAAGTTTTATTTTTAACCTGTGCTGTTATCAGTTGCCTGCTATATACAGAGCTTCATATATACTCCACCTCTCTAATACTTCAGTCTGTTTGTTTAGGTCCTGGTGAATGCCAAAACTTCTAGTTAATTCTTCAAAGTTCTAATTCAGAAAACATTTTTGAGTGATGCTAGTCTTCATGAATGCCTTGAAGGATCAGATCCTTTCTCCATGAGCTAAGAAGCATGCCTGGTGCATTGAAGCAACTTTGGTTTTATGAGCTCTAAGTAGAGGTTCTTTCAAAATAAATTAACATTTTAAATGGTAAAACCTGTTGAAGTCTTTTGGCCTGCCCATATGAATAAGTGATTGGACTCTAGAATGCTGTTTGGTGTGTAGAGAATGGCAGGGGATTTTTTTATTATTTTTTTTTTTTTTCTGTATTTAATAGTTTAATCTGTAAAGCCAATCAGAGCAGCAGCTTTTCATATAAGTAGGAATAGGCAGACTGAGTAGATATAGGCAGCAGAATGCTTGGGAAAATCATGCTTTAAATTCTGTGGAAAAGCACTGCATTTTTCAGTCTCTAAGACTGAAAGTTTGATCTGAATTATTGGTAGTTCTCAAAAGTAATGTATCATTCTGTAATAACCGATTTTTCATCTTACAAAAATAAGTTTAATTACAAATGGTAACAGGGCTTGTAAAGATGAAATGAGGCTTCTAGTCAAGCCCCTTGGATGATACAACATTTAAGTATTTATGACTGTGCAATTACATAGAAATGTAATACTTGCATCACAGCGAAATTAATCTATAAGACAAAGCTTGGACTGGATTTGAGGTACCACTTGAACAAAACCAGCATAAATATTAATACCCCTGGAAGTGTGTAAAATGGTGGGACTTACTGCAGTGTAAGCAAAGCACTGGCTGTCACTTGAGATCCTTGTATAAAGACTTTGTTAAGCTGCAGGTAAGTTGAGAAAACTCACAGACTTTGCAGGACATTTTCGAAAGAGCATGAAACACCCGCTTTAAACTTGAACTTAAGTGCACAGATGGTATTTAGGTCTATCCAAAAATATGTTGTCTATACATTTCTAATTCTGGAGGAAAAAAGGGATTCTAGGCTGATTTTAAAATGAGGCATCTTAAAGCAGAGAGCTGGCAAAACAGCTGCAAGGTGACATACTGTGTTTGCCTCACACATCTTTATTTTTAAAGTCTTAATACAAAATGTCATACATTCAGTGTTATGCAGTGTTTATTGTACAAAAGTCCATAGTCTGCTCATTCTGTTACACTGTTGATAACACCCGGAGTTTTAAGCTCCAACTTTATTTTGGTGAGGGACTGACATTTCAGACCTTAGCCACAAATTCAAGTGGGCAATTATTGTGGAACAACAGGATAAAACTGAGTCAGTGGTGAGCTAGAGTTGGACATTCATCCAAACTGCCTCACTACTTACATAAGTGTGTTGGAAAATCACATTTTCTGTTTTTAAGGAAATAATCTATTAAGTCACGGATCCTTTCCTGTGAAGGATTAGAGGCTGCAGAAACTGCTTGTACACTTACATTAGCAGAGAAAGAAACCTGACATTAAGTCTAGAAATAACTGCCAACATCACAAGTTAGGAATTCCTCATAATGGTCATTTGATTACATATTCAGGTTTTTTCCCCTTACTTATGTTGCTATCAAATGTGAAGGATCTTTTGTGTTAAACTGCAGCATTTCATGCTTTCTGCAGTGAATTATTAATGAATAGTAATACTCTAATGCAAAAAGATGAGGCATGTGAATTACCTCACCTTTGTTTGAATACTTTAATCTTGTACTTAAGACATATTTGATTTTACAGATAAATTTGTGGATTTACAGTTAGGTTACACTGTGTAGTATACTTTTGAAAAAAATGCCGATCGGATTTATTTTCATCGTGTTACAGAGAAGGGAAAAAAACTAAGGCTTCACTGAGAGGTTAAGGGTCCCTCCTTGTTCCTGTAAGGATGCTGTTTGTCCCCTCCGTGGGTTACTGTGTGAAACTTCTAAAGCCAGATGGGAGATTGGGTGAGGAACAGCTTTGGGAACTGTTGACCTGGCAGGTCACGGAGTACATATTCAAAATCTTAGACTTAGAACTTTTAGCTGGAGAAGCACAGAACTAACAGAGCAGGAATACACTACAGGCAGAAATAAGATGTTTGGACTGTGTCACAACATAACTCTCCTTTGGTTTAGGGAATAAGAATAATTCTGAATGTTCAGTGTTTTATGGTGGTTTTGATAGTATTCAGGTTCCTAAACTCTCTGAGTTTGGGTCTTCAGCATGAAAAATATTGACCTCAGTCTGACAGTTTTAGAATTTTCTGTTGCTGAGGTTGAATGTATTTCCTATACCATGATACATAACAACTCTGGGTCCCTTGTCATACTTTTTTAGCCACTCTTGACTTGGGCAGAGGAAGCAGTGCATACATTTTATGCTGCTAGTTTTATTCTCCATTCAGTTTGTAGTTGTTCATATGCTTCATAATTTTCACAGCTGGTTAGTTTGCCTTAGTTGACTAAAAACTCTTAATTTTAGAACTGAAAAAATTAATAGGATGAAAATACTGGTAGTAAGCTTACCAATTAATACACTTAAATGTGAGATATATTTTCCTATTTTGCTCTATTTGGGTAAGTGTTTTCTTATGAACATGAGTGACCAGTAAAACACTGATCTTCATTTAGATTGTCTTCATAAATGCAAATTTAACTAGTTTTGTGTAACATTTAGTCACAATTAATATATCACAGGAAACTGCATCTTTCACAGAGCTACTTCCACAGTACCATGCAGCATGCAGTGTTGATGTTTTTTCTGGTCCTGTGTAGCGTTTTTCATTGTAATTTGACTTAAATACATAAACTTAGGTGAGCTTTATGTTCTAATCACATTGGTTATGTTAATGATTTATTTATAATAAAATAAAATCAATGTGATGCCATTTTTTTCCAAGGCATGACCAAGGTTAAAGTAGGCAAGGAAGATTCTTCATCTACTGAATTTGTAGAGAAAAGAAGAGCAGCTCTAGAAAGGTAATGTATGTATCTAACTAAAACTTGTTTAGCCTCAAAATTACTTGTAATATACTACATTGGCTCTGTAATTGGGGTCTGGGCCACCTGTACTTAGATGGATTCTGGAAGCTGTATGCAGCTGCCAAATTTTTGTGTAGAAATGGAATAATTCCCATTAATAATGGGAAACGTAGCCTTATTCATAGTGAGGGTTATCGCTAACTCTTTTCAAACTGGTTGGTGCTTAAAATTGAGATTGCAGAGATCCAGTAAGTAAAACTTTCTTTACCAGGCTTACTTAGGTATTTTTGGTTTAAGGAATTAAGGCACTTCAGTGGTATATCTGTTCCATAGAAAATCAGCTGTTGGGCAGGGAGACCTTCAGTCACTTGAAAGTAAAATGGCCTCCTGATGACTTACAGCACAGTGATGTGGCTAGCTAAATTTAGGCATAAGAGATACTGGACGTCTTTCACCCAGCCCTAGTATACAACTAATGCTCTTCAGGTATCTTTGCTGTGTAAGGGTACTGTCATTGATACACTGCATCATTTTCCCCTATTGACACAGCTAGTACAGCTTTTAGAAAGTAATTAGTAGAACTTACAAGTATACAGCCTTAATTTTGGTATTTCATAATATGCCCATTGCTGTGATGCAGTTGCATCATCTGAGAACAATACACCATATAACAGCTTCAGTTAAACTAGAAAATTAACAAAAGTCAAAGGTTTTGGATTGCATGTTGGAAGACATCTAACAGATAATGTGTGAAGCTCTTGAACTTCTGGAGTTCCAGAGCCAATCTTAAACAAAAAATATCCTTCGGAATTCTGTTGCTAGTATCTTTCCATTTCGCAACTAACAGAAGAACATCTGAAATTATACCAAACCTCAAAATACCTATGGTTGCTCTGTCTCAGTTGTCTGTTACTGAAAATTGGCATATAGCTTAACATTTGCCACTTAAAATTGCACCCAGAAGTTGCTGAAGTTGTTCTATCACTTGGAGCGGAACTGTGAAACACATTCTGGTTATTCAGCAAGTCTATTGCTAAAGGAGTGGTACTGTGAGATACGAAGACTTGGAATAACAGCTGGGATTAGAGTAATTTGTCTTAGATAACAGAACAGATGCTTTCACACAAATTTAGGTGTCTGTCTGCAATAGAGATGTCTAGTTTCCCTTTTGGTTGCTTACTTGAACAACAGAATTAGGATTAGAAAAAGTTTGATTCACAAGCTTGTGTGCGTGCTGCTTTTTCATTTATTTGTTAGAGGAGTTACACTAGTGTACCACTTCTAGTGGATGTTGGGTGGTCCTCCCATACTGGGGGATGGACTCCTTAGGACTTTTGACAACATTGGGACGGCTTCACAGTACATTCCATTTGTTTTTTTTCAGAAAACTATGAATATCTTACCTGGCAAGGAGCAACTTCTTCATCATGCCAGCTTTAGCTGTCTTTTCCTTTCAGAATCAAAAAGTTACATACCTACGAATGCATTCAAATGATACTTAGAGGCAGTGGTTCTGTTGCTCTTGCCTAAACCTGACAAAAATGTGTTAATGTTCCCCAGAAAGTCAGACCAAAGAAATCTGCTTCAATTTGCTCTTGTTTGAGCCGAAAATTATGGGGAAGGTGGGTCAGGAGAGCAATATCCCTCGTTAGTTGAGTTCACTAAAATTTATGCCCTAGCATAGTGAACATACATACTACAAGTCTGCCTGCCAGAAGTCCTCAAGCGCGTTGCCAGTTGTCTCCAGTGAAAATGTTAGAAATCTCCCTCACAATAAAGGCTATTCTCTAGCAGCAGATTTCTAAAGAAAAATCTCTTTGGTTGCTTGCCATACGAACTTTAATTTGTACTTGCTACTGCATATAGAACAAGCAAGGAGAAGTTGAGCCATCTAATGTATAAAATAGTTTCACTGTAACCATTAGCTTCTTTAGGAAGAAAAATAAGGTTGTGGTGGCCATGCCTAATGGAGGATGGAAAAAATACATTACATTTACAATATCAATATACTCAGTCTTTCAGTTAAAAGTCCCAGCCCATGTCAGTTTCTAGGACGGTTTCTAAGCAATCTGTGAATGTAACGGGGCTGTTCCGGTACCTCACGCATGAGGCTTCAGCAAAACTAAAGCTTTGCAAAAAGTAGAGTATGCTGTTAGTAATATTCTGTCACTGTGCATTAACTGGCAATAATGCATGCTTTCTTGTATTCCCATCATCTTTTGAGGTACTAGATTTCTATAAAGTGTTCATGTAAATGTCAAACACTTCGTTAATACGTAATGTTAAAATCAGTTATGATTCCAGCAGTTTTTAGGGGAAGAATACTGTTGAAATTTCTCTCTTTGACCCATATTTGTTCAATTAACAGTTTTTAGATCTAAGCAGAAACACAAAAAATTGCAAAGGGAAGGAGTTGCAATGATGATTTTTTGGGGGGGAGACGAGTACTTTAGCGTTAATATGGTTAAAGGCTTTTGTTTAGCCAGCAAATAAATAGTTCATACCTAGAACACAATCAGCTCACTTCCCCTAGATTTCCTTTAATTCTAAAATAAGTCACCCAGAACTATCAGTAGAAAAAAGCCTGTCCACTGGACTGTACAAGAATGTTTAAACAAGCTCATTTGGGGTTTTTTTTATGTAAATTGGCTGTTATTCAAGGAGGAGGACTTTACTCAGCTGTTAAAAATATGAAGTGTAATGTTTTACCACTCTGCAACATACATTTGTGGCAGGTCCCACCTTAAGGAGTTTCTGGTGTAAACAAACTATGTTAGAAACCACTGCCTGCACCTTTGGTGTGTTACGTTGTGGTATGGAGTGCATGGGGCTGCATTACTTTCAGTCAGAAGTTCCAGGGTTTGTGGCAGTCTTAGTGGGAGTAAGGCTTCAGTGAATGTTTGAACAGCCTAGTGGTCCTAGCTTGTAACTCTGTGTAGGACTTGGCCTAAGTATTTGTTAGAGGAAGGTGACAGAATGCATAAATATGAAGAGTCAGCAGAGAGGCAAAGGACTGAAGGGGCATGGAGACAGGAACTGTCATCTGACCCTTTAGAGGTGACTTCTTAAAAGAGTGTTCAAGCCCTATTAGATAATGAGGGAGGTTGTGTGCACTGCACTGTACCTGTTCTTTAGTTGAAGGACACTTTCTAGTGCTGTCAGGCTCATTAAATCTGTTTTGTTATCTAATATTTTAATTTTTAAAATCATAGGTATCTACAACGAACAGTAAAACACCCAACCTTGTTACAGGATCCAGATTTAAGACAGTTCTTGGAAAGTTCCGAGGTATTTAAGTTCTTTTAAGTTTTCCTATTTGTTTCTAGATATGCTAACCTACAAAGCAATATATTCTCTTTGTATTGAGACGTGATCCACTAAATTTGTATGAAATCAGAGTGGATTGTACCTTTCATGGGGTGGAATGGCAGAGGCTACTTAGGTAACAGTGTGCCTCTGCCTCTGATAAAACTTAAGACTGGCAGTGACCAAAAGCTATTTGCTGTTCAGTGACTTCTCAAGCAAGTTGGTCTGTCCAGTTCTGACTGAAGCTTGTCATACATGGTGAAAATCTGTAATTGATGTTACCGGTTGTTAAGTGAGATCAAGAATTAAACTGTCCAGAAAGCAGCTCTCTTGCCTCTAGGAGTCCAACTTGAGGTGTATTGGTAGAATAATGTGAAAACGCTAGCAATGCTGCTGGCAAGGCTAGATGTTTTGTGAATAGAAGACTTCAGTTGACTGTGCTATCAGTCTGGCACCTTTCACAATGTTAAATAAATTATTAAATGTACTTGGTATCTCTTTATAAATGTGCATAGTGGATTCACTGTAATACTGAACTGTCTTTTGGCCAATGTCAATAGCTTAGTTATACTAATAAGTCACAGAGACCTCACTACTGACAAAAGCACTGTTGATAGATAACTTACAGTGGATTTGTCAATGCTGCTGACAGACAAAACATCACATGAAGGGTAAATGGTCTGACATAGGGGCCACCTTGTATGGCATATTCAGACTAGCTTGAATAATAATATCAATTAAGTGTAAAGTTTGTTAACTTACCCCTGAGGATTTCTAAGTACATAAGCAAATACACAGTTCTCTTGATACACATGAGGTAGGTTTTGAAATCTGGCCTATATTGAAAAGCAAAAAGGCGTTAACCTTTTATAATGAGCACACGGTGCAAATCTTGCATTACAGTTAAATGTTTTACAGAACTTCTTTTGTCTAATTTGTTGTAAATCTAAGCTTTTCTGTTCCTGTAGTGGCAGTTCTCTATAGCGTATAGGTGGCTAGTTAGGACCTTTGGCTACTTCATAATAACTTTGGACAAGTGGGTTGTTTGTTCCATTTAAATGTAAAGATGTAGAAGAAAAGTAAATAGTCTATATTTTTAAGTTTTCCTCTTGAGAATGTAAAAGTAGTAAATCTGAGAAATTAGATTCCACTATATTGAAACACATAGGAGTAAAGAAAACACTATATCCTTTTCTTTCCCCCTTGTGCCCAGTTAAACCTCCATCCTTTTAACCAGTCTGTTTGCCCTTATTTGTCATTCAATTCCAGCTGCCGAGAGCGGTTAACACCCAGGCTCTGAGTGGAGCAGGAATATTGAGGATGGTGAACAAGGCTGCCGACGCTGTCAACAAAATGACAATCAAGATGAATGAATCGGATGCAGTAAGAGCTGATTTTTCGGCTTGAATAATGAGATGAATTAATGAGCCTCAACAATTGCATTTTAAAGCTGTAGAAGTAGAAAATGGGTTATTAATTTGCTTATTGGCTTGAATTCTTAGCTGTATCAGTTGACCACCCTGGCAGTACATGGATAATTTGCTTCTTTAAAACCAGAAATGTTGTTGGTAATCTAATTTGTAATGCTTGACTCTTTCATCTTTTGTCAGTGGTTTGAAGAAAAACAGCAGCAATTTGAGAATCTGGATCAGCAACTGAGGAAACTTCATGCCAGTGTTGAAGCATTAGTCTGCCACAGAAAAGGTAACTACTTTTATGTGGCTGCATGAACTGAAGTGCTTAGAACTTTAGGAACTGGTGATGAAGCTTAGTATGTCAGAGCTCTGAATTAATTAATAGAATTATATGGTATATTTTAATGCAAAAATATTTTAATTGTACTTCTTTTTAAACTACTTAAGCATTTTTGTATACCTGTTTTTAATCCTAACTTTAACCAGAATATTGGTTGTTCCTAAAGTTACTATATTGATTTAGCATAATTTTTTTTTCTTGCAGAGATTCAATACCATACCTAGCAAGTGATTCTACTACAGTAGACATCCATAAATGTATCTCTAGGTATCATGGCAAGAGTCATTTCCTTCTGAACAAAAAGTGGCTGCATAAATCCATTTAAACATGTTTTGGTTCGGTATTGCTCTGTTAGCTAAGTTTAAGCTCTTAACCAGGAATTTACTATTCTTAATTTGGTCCACATAATGATACATCATCAAGCTACTGTAAAGGTAAACTTTTCTGGAAAGATAAGTAGTCTCAGAATATCAGCTTTTGATTTACTTGTTGTAGAGAGAAACAAAGTCTGTAAGTTTATATTTAAATCACCTGTGCTGCTGTTTCGTCAAAGATTGCTTTCCATCAGATTATTTAAAAAACCCCAAAACTCCAGAACTTTGATTCATAGTGTAAGGAAGACCATAGACGTGCCTTCTGACACTACTGTATTATTTTAAAATATGGGGTCACCTTTCAACTCTATGCTTTCAAAAGTACATGAAAATGTCCTAAGTTGCTTTCTTATAACTATCAGGAATTGCTCTCTGTAGTAAAAAAATCCTTGGCCAGGTGTCCTAATGACTAAAGAGTATTTTAAGAAGTAATGGAAAATTGAAGTGTTCTACTTACAGGGTGTGTTGATTTGACACCTGGTCATAGATTTGAAGAAGTGGTTTGGGGTTGTTAGGGGTTTTTTTAAGCATTGTGTTTAGATTGTGTTTTAAAATACCTGAAGACATTTTGGTTCTACAAACATTTCTGGTGTTCTGATGATTCCACAGAAGCACCACAGTTACAAACAAACCTGCATTTTTAATCCTGAAGTAATTTGGATTCAAAGGTCCTTCATAGGACTTAACTTTGTACAGGATAACTTACATGGGATTTGATGAGACAATTGCCCTAGTTTTTGTTAATAAATAAACTCAAAACTTTACCCTTTACCTTCATAGATGCCAGCCATGCTGGTATGTGGGGATTTTTTTTTTTTAGGCATGGCAGAATGTAATATGACATTATAGAATGCACAGCTAAAGGCAGTCAATAAAATAGTACAACAGAAATAAATTCCAGTCACTGGGGTGGCGGTTTTGTGAAATAGCTGGGGTTTTTTTCCACTCTGAACTGCATGGAACAACTGTGGTATAAACCTGTTAAAATTGCTTTTCTTTTGCTCTGTAGGTGGCTTGGCTTTTGTTTTGTGGGCTTGCATTTTCTCTGAACTAGGGAGTTGGATAATACCAAAGTAACATTTTTTTCCATGTCTTGCTAGACAGAGTAGGCATGACATTAACAGGCTGAGCAAAACATTTACTGATGGAGAGGGGGTTTTGTGCAGTTGTTTTCCTCCTAAATCTGGTTTCACTGTGATCTCCTTGTGTATTTTATCGTGAGCTTTAGGAAATACAGCTTATATTTTTCAGTTGGTGAAGTTGAGTTGAAACAGGGCAGAGGTCTCTGCTCCACTGATCTATGCTGCAGAGTAATATGACAAATTAACTACACTGTACTGAACATTACTCCTGTATTTCAGAGCTTTCAGCCAACACAGCTGCCTTTGCTAAAAGTGCTGCCATGTTAGGTAACTCTGAGGACCACACTGCTCTATCTAGAGCTTTGTCTCAGCTTGCTGAGGTTGAGGAGAAAATAGATCAATTGCATCAAGAACAAGCTTTTGCTGATTTCTATGTGTTCTCAGAACTCCTTGGGGATTATATTCGTCTCATTGCTGCAGTAAAAGTGAGTACTACTAGGAAAAATACCGACTTTTGTGTTTAAAGTCACATTATTCAACTTGTAGATTTAGGGTAAATGAATGTGTGCATTTGCACATGTCCATAACACAGTTAAGACTTAAGTTTTTGCCTGAAGTTCTAGCTGAGTAAAATGAATGCATCCATAATCAGTTATTCCAATGATAAAAATGGTTGTGATCAAAAATGGGAATGGATTAATAAGATCCAGACAAAATGTCAATGGTGAACATCATCTACTTTGAGCAGTACTCATTGTGCACAGCATTTGGTAATACCATACACTACTGTGTCTAAGCAGAGTGCACTTGTTTCTTTCAGGTTACTTATTTTTACAGTATACTGATAAATTTTTGAGAACATAATTTGGCCATATTTGGTAGACAGCCAATAGTTTCTGTAAATAAGAAACAAACACGATTTGTGGATCTACATCTTATTAAAGGAAATACTCGATTTTGGTATAAGTTGTGCTGTACAGCACAGTCAGGTTTTGACATGGGAAAGGGGTGTCTATGAATTTTATCTAGAAATATCTTTGAACTTGCCACGTTGTTGGGATTGTATATTTTTCTTTTTATTTTCTCTTTTTTTTTTTAATATGTATACTTTAATTCTGTTACCTTGGTCCACTGCTAACAAAAATGTATTGCTGAATATGCATATAATCCATATACAAGAAAAGTTTGCTAGGATCTGCATTTAGAGAAGTATTTGCATAATAGAGGACTTAGTAATGATTGTTTTGGTAGTGTTTTGATGGAATGAGGAATATAAAATGGTTTGGGGCGCTAAGGTGTCAGCTCTAGAAAGGCTTCTTGAATACCCTGTTTGTGGAAGGTATTGAGCTGTGCAAGTATGCAGTCAAATGAAATACAAGAACACATGTGGCAGACACAGTGAGGTTTCTTTGAGTATACTTGTTCCAGAAGTTATCCAGTTATTCCAGTTTTATCCAGAATTACCTTTTCCTACTAGGAATTTAGCTGGCTCTAACAATTCCAGTTGTTTGATAAATTTGTTTGTCCTTACAGGGTGTGTTTGATCATCGAATGAAATGCTGGCAGAAGTGGCAAGACGCTCAGGTCACTTTACAAAAAAAACGTGAAGCTGAAGCAAAGCTCCAGCTTGCCAACAAACCTGATAAATTGCAGCAAGCTAAGGATGAGATAAAAGAGGTAAAGTTATCAAACATTATTTTGGAGGTTAGACTTTCTGCATTAGCTCATTCATTCTGCATTAATGCACTACTTTATACCATTTTTATTTACAAATCACTTACTCATTTGCTGTTTTCCATATTTACTGAAATGATTAAAAAATTTATTTAAAATACTAAATGTGCGCAATTGTTACTCATTGTAAGATCTGTAAGGCAGTTAATACTGTCTCTACAGAGTCTGGGAGATGGGAGGAGGGGAATATGGACAAGTTAAATGATGCTTTTAAGTGTTAACAGATCACTTGGGTAGGCAGAGGAGCATCACTTGGCTTCTAAAGCTAAAATCCAACTAAGATGACTAATGGAGAACTGTTCCCATGTTTTGCTTAATTATGCAGCATATCTACCCATATATATATGTATGTATATATGGTGTAATTTCAGTAAAAATAAATCTTAACATGTTGAAGTGTCATAATTTATACACTTTTTCTGTCATGCTTCACTAAGGAAATTGAAGAGGTAGGACAACTTAATTATTTAACATTAATGCATTCTAATTATGCACCAGTATTCTCCCATTAAATAACGGGAGAACATCATTGCAGGTTTTAAACTCTCTTACGCAGTTATTTTGTTTGGCTTTCTCATTGATCACTAACCATGTGCTGCTTTGTTCTTTCTGCCCTTCAGTATATTTTGCATACAGTGTTGAAGTTACTCATTAACTTGGCTTTCTTTTTCTTAAAAAAGGCCTTTGTTTACTGGGAAAACTTAGTGTCACATTCTTGCTGGTTGCCTCTTGATGTCACCCATGCATCCACAGTACAAGGGAGCTGGAACTCCTTGTCGAAAGTACTTCCTGAGTATTGGAAGTAGTAGGACATACCCAGTGATCCTTTCTCAATCCCAATATTAAAAGAATTACTTATGTTGTTCCTGAAGGATTTATTTTTCCAACTTTATTGGATGGTTAGTGAAGGTTGTTAGTAAATCCACAATTTGAATGTGCTCATTGAAAGTTATTGCTGCCATTGAAATATGTTCAGAGTTGCTGAATTGTGTAATAGTAGTCCTTCTGGCAGAGGAATTGCAAAGTGGAAGCGTACACAGCTTGAGCTTCACCCATGACTCCGTTGGTTTTTGCAGATAAAAGGCCAAAGAACAGTCCTAGAAATACCTTATTGAGTAAGGAGAAATTTCTCCTTGTCAGAGACTGTAAGATGGCAGACTATTATCCAGCGATAATTCCTATAGGACCTGGCATTTGAGCATGATGAAACTGGGATGTTGGATCCATTAGGCCTGTAGAGGCTTTCACTGAAGTCTCAGGTGCCGCTAGTAGCTGTGGTAGGAAGGCACAAGTGGTCTTAATCTACCTTTTCATTGGCTGAGCTTTGTATTCTTTCAGTTACTAGGTAACTTCAGGCTGTTCTTCCATGAAGGGCATCCTATTATGACTTACTGCGTAGCTTCATAATGTGTATCTGAAAAGGCAATAAGGGGGCTCTGAATAAGTATAAAATAAAAATATAAATACTTAGATATTTATTGGAACATAGATGATGTTTATCTCATGTCACAATAGTAACTTGACACTGCACCACAAAATGCTTTTGTGACTAAATCTCACCACTGGATTGCTAACAGGAATACGCTATATTGAAGTATGTTGCTTCCCTGCTGCCTTTTTCTGAGGAAGATAAGTGTTACTGGATATTATTGGCTCCCATGATGCAGTTAACATGTTGAGATGAATACAGTTGCATTTTAGATATCTGTTAGCCTGCATGCATCTGATGTGTGAGGCTGATAGCTTTTTTCACAGTAGCTAGCTTAAATTTAACAAGATATAGTAGCCGTGTAAAAGCAGTTATAAGGTAATGTAGATGATGGTGATCTCTCACTGTGTAGCTGGATGTCTTTTCACATACACTGAGGACAAACGTAGCCTAATGCCATGTATGGTTACATGAATGCCACACTCCCAATATGGCAAAACCCCACGAGCAACATCACTTCCTCTGAATTTTCCTTTTGTGCTTGTCTTACCTGCAGTAACTTTTTTACTCCTGCTTTCTGTGAAAACAGTTCCCACTGAACAAGAAAGCACGTGCCTTGGCTTGCCTAAGCAACATGCATTCTGACTGGAAGGCCAATAAACATGTCCTCAATAGCCTGTCATCTGCAACAGAAATGTGATAATCATATACTTGACCATAGCCAGAGGTGAAGATCTAATCATCTCTTCTGGGCTTAGGGAAGTACAGGGAACTAACTTCTGAGACTCTTCCACACTTGATTGGACAGGTAGTCACAGACACCTTACAGGTTTAGATTCCTGTTGTAGCAGTGTTTGTAAACGGAGTAGCGAGTAAAACTTACAGAGATCCTTTTTCTTTTCTAAAGAATCTTTAAAAAATGTTAAGTGTTTCTTAATAGCAATGCTAAGATATTTTAGATTTCATCTACAGATAGCATTACCTTAGAGATACCATTGTTTTAACTGATATGACATCCTGTTATAGAAATTGTTACTTCGAAGTTGTTATTGTGAGACTTTCCCTTAAGTATGTCAAAAAAACCAAATAGGTCCTTTTCAGCTATTGAGCGACTATTGCTAATACACTAAAAAAAGTTCAGATACTGATAGACTGAATGGACAACACAAAGTCTTACTGTCTGCATGTCTTTCCTTTGCCAGTGGGAGACAAAAGTTCAGCAAGGGGAAAAAGATTTTGAACAGATCTCCAAAACCATTCGCAAGGAAGTGGGAAGATTTGAGGCACGTATAATTTTGTCGAAGTAAATGACAGTTTTACTTTAGATAATACTGACATTCCAAGTAAAATTGGTTAAGAGGTTAATATGCCGTAATTTATTTATTAACAGAAGGAACGAGTGAAAGACTTTAAAACTGTTATTATCAAGTACTTAGAGTCGTTAGTGCAAACACAACAGCAGGTAAGATAAATTTTAAGTTTTGTACAAGTTAATATTTAATATGTTCCATATTAGGCTAGTTAAAAAAAGATAGGCTTTAAGTATAGCAGTTTCTAAAACATAAATAACTACTTCTAGTCTTTACTGTATTGGAGAATAACACAGTGATTGCAGTTTCCCAGCTATTGCTATGCTTGCCTGCACAATTCCCTTAATTCAGGGAAACAAGGGAGAAGCTCCCTCAGGGCTATGGGCGAGTGGAGGATCTTGTTGTCTTCTGAAACTGAAGTAATGTTTTCACTTATAGATTGGAATAAATTATAATGAATATGCACTTAGACTTACTGAAGAGACTCAAATACTTAAATGTTTATTGCTCTTTTTAAAAAGTATAAAATATTACCGAATATTGTAAAGCAGTAAAACAGTTTCCAGTGACTCAGAAGTAGACCTTGTTCCCATAAGAGTGTCCAGAGTCTTTCCTTTGTTCATTCCGGGAATATAACCCTCTGGCTTTGTTTAATTAAAAAAAAAAAAACCAACGAAAAAAACCCAAACAACCAAAAAAAACCAAAACAAAAAAACCCAAACCAAACCACAAACTTGTACCCTTAGAGGTAAGAATAGCAAGCTCAAGCTTGCAAACTAATTCTGTATAAATGTATTCTACAGCATTGTGTTCAATGTGTGGTAACAACTCTGTTGCTGTGAGCAGATTTGTGTATTTATTACTTGTATTTTTCTTGCATTATATAATAATGTGAATGGATAATATGAAGCACCTATGTTCTTTATCTGGTGGAGACAAGTTTACGACAAGAGGAGGAAGGTATATGTGTTTTCTTTTCCAACATTTGGTACTTAATAGTGAGTGTTTTTCCCTTCTCTTCAAGCTAATAAAATACTGGGAGGCATTCCTACCTGAAGCCAAAGCCATCGCCTAAAAGAAGAATATTCCAAATGACAAGGCGCTCTGGATGTTTGTCCTGGATAAAACTAAATTCCACAGTGAAATCACTTTAAATCATCCAAATAAACCACTATATATTTTATGAATTAACATGTGGCTTTTTTTATATACTACAGCATTTTATTAACAAGCTGCATGTCCTGACCTTCTTTGAAGTGGACTGTGGCATGATGTTCTGCAATACATTGCTGAATTGAACACTATTGTGTCTTAATACTTGCACTAAAATGTGCATTGCAAGGCTGGAAAGCTGATATTTTTGTTCTTTACAATACAATGTTCTGTAGTATGTTTACCTGATCTTTATGAAACAAATTTAATTGCATCGATTAATGTTCACTTAAACATTCCTGTACAAAATCATGTTTTTGTGATTACAGTAATAAAGGGATGTACCTTGTGAAACATTAAACACTCTGGTTTTGTGTCTGTAGATATTTACTTAGAAGTAGCATTTAAGACAAATTGAGATTATATCAAAGGGAGAAACAACATTTAGTAAAGAATGCTGGAGACGGTGTTAAAGATCCACAAACAAGTATTTGTGCTAAATTCTGAATCTCTTCATTACAGGTGTTCTTTTCACCTGAAGTTACCACTGCCTTGGTGAACTGTAATGAGTTAGTACTCACAGGGTCAAAAGACTGATGCTTTGTGGCAACAGAACTGTAGCAACAGGCAGGCATTAACCGAAATATCTTCCAAGTGTTTTACAAAGCTTCTGAAGGGTGAAGATCCACCTGCATGGTCAAATACTGATGTCCTGCTGTACTGATAGAAACCATCAGTTGTCTTCAGTGGTCTCAGGATACAAAAAAAAAAAAAAAAATCTTGCAATAATTCTGGTAATTGGGGAGGAAGAAAAGTAGGTAATGCAGCTGAGTGCAAGCTAGCGATAAGGGCTGGAGTTCTACTTGGATTTTCTTGAGTAGAAAATACATTTGCAGGAACTGGTTTTATCTTCTGTAAGAAATCAGAGCAGCTAAACATTTTCCTGAAATACACAATATTAACAATGCTGCATGGCCATTTTAATGACATACTGAGCTTGTCAATGTCATGTATTAGTATTAATGGCAGGTATTAACAAATTTTAGACAAATGTTAATCATATAAAATACAAGAGAAGCTGTTGCTTTCCACTAACGATAAGATTTGCAGGATAAGCCCATGAATTTGTATTGTTTGTGGTCAAGTACAAAGAAGTGCCCAGTACTATTTCTGAACAGACTGGAAACCAAAATTCAGCTGGAAGATCATACACTCTGATTATGCAACAAAATCGCTGTAAGCTTTCCAGATCAGTGTCTCCTGTTGTTTCTGTACAGAGTTTGGTTGACTCAGTGTTTCTAGGAATTTTCAAGGAAACTAGTAAAGAAACTGTTACTTTAAAAACGCCTTTATCAAGCATCTTTTTAAATTGTGAAATGCTAAAACCTTAACCTTGTAACACCTTTTGCATCAGTGTTTGTTAAGTCATTTAGCTTGGAACTGCGTTTTGAAAAGCTCAAGTATGCAACGAGTTTACGAAGAAATTGATGTAGGCATAACACTCTACTAAGTGTTACTTGACTTCGGCTTGCTCAGTGCTGAGGACAATTGACCAACAGCTCAATGTTAAACTTCAGATTGGTTCCAGTGAGAGTGAAAGCGGGTACTTCCAGAATTAAAGACTCAATTTTGACATGCAAAGCTCAAAATGGGGAAATGTATACTTTCATGATCTTTTTTTCTTTAAGTGTTTTATCCAACTTTCTTAGCTCTTTATTTCTTTTTCATTTTGCTTCTGTCTGTGATGAGTGAATGAGAAATAGCTTTCACATCAGTGAAAGCAGGCATTAATGTGACTGTCTATACTAGACAACTGAAAACAAGAATGAGTTGTGTAGGTTTTTTTTCTTAAAACCAAAAGCCTGTTGGAGAACAAAAGCATTTTGTTCAGAAAGCAAATTGTTTCAGAAATAGCATTTCTGAAGTTCAGTGCCACAGAGGTTTGCCAATACAAAAAAATTTTTAGGTTTTTTTTTTTTTTTTTTCCATCACAAGGTTAATTTGAACAGAAGACCCAGATCAGCTGTCACGTTTGGCTAGCATAAAACTCTTGTTGTTTCAAGAATCTGTTAACTTGTTTTTCATGTATTCCCCTACATTTTGCAGATTGAAGATTTGCTTATCACCTTTCCCAGTACAATTAACATCCGTATTAGCAGTTGTTTCTCAAACCAAGTGAATGGAGGTGTTGCTGAGCTGTTTTCTCTGTGGAGCTCACTACAGGATCTAGTACTAAATTTAAGTGTTGTTTCCCTGAAGCTCCAAGCCAGTGTACCACTGAAGAATTACTAGCATGGACAAAATGAATGTTTGCAAAATGGTGAACTACATTTGGAATGCTGTATACAAGACAAGGTGCTACTGAATTCTAGTTTACTTTTTAGGTTAAACATCTGTAGATGTCTATAATGGTTTTAAATCATCCCCATTCTTGTATCCATCATGTCCATGGTGCTTTTGGAATTAAAAATATATGATGTGCAGTGGCTCAAATTGAAGACATTGTTACCTCTTTTTTTAAACAGATATTCAGTCTACAATGAGTCTCTGATTCTTCAGTCACTGTCCCTTTTAAAACTGAATATTCTGCTTACCTATCAATTATTCTTTCTTTTACCTCTCCTAAGTTATTTCCCTCTGAAGGCCTCATATGGGAGTTTGTGCTTCAGCATCTCTGGAGTTCATGCCCCAAATATGTCAGTTTCTTTCAAATTCTGGTGGAGATGAGCTGCTGGCTAGTATATTCTATGCATTTAAGTGAACAGCCAACATCCACTAAAATTACATGTAGAGTGAGATGACTCTTAAAACCAAAAAAACCCAACTTTTTTTCTGACCTTCCACTTTAGAGTAGAACAGGCTCTGTAATAATTTGAATCTCTGGCAAAATACGCATCCATTACAACCATGCAAGAAAAAAAAAGTTCAATATTAAAACATGTAAGGAGCTGAAGTTTCAGGTTGTTCAAAATGTTACTTGTTACCTGCTGAGGGGATTCATCCTTTTTTTAAAATTCATGTCTTCCATAGTTGTATGGGGGGCAAGCTTGATAATAAGTAAAGCAACTTTTGACTTCACTGCTAAAACTACTTTTTTACTTCCAGATCAGTGAGAAAATAACTAACAGAGTGATATCAAATAATCAGTTTCCTGTCATTATGAAAATCTGTCATTAAAAAAAAGGTCTCAGAAGATCATGCAAGGCAGCTTAGGCAGAATCCTTCTAGCAGGGTATTTGTATGAAAACTAAAAAAAAATATGCAATGAAAATGGAAAGGTGAGAAAAGACTTGAGATAAACCATGTATCTGCAGTTTAGAGAGATCAAGATAAGACGAGCCCAGGGAGGAAGATAACACAAATCTTGAGAAAGGAAATGCTTTATCTTAGCTTCACATCCAATGTGGAACTTCCCGGGGAGGTCTCAGCAGAGTAGAAGAGCACTGCACTGCATGAAAACCTGCAGTTATCTTACATTGTACCAAAACACTGATTTTTCTTTTTCCCCCTTGCCCCACCCACCCACATGCACGCACACTTGAGCTGTTCAGAAAACTACCTACTTACCAGCTCCAAATACTGTGGTTCTTGGAAGGAGTACTGAGGTTTTTATTTGATTCTGTGAACTCATGTAGAAAACTGACTGACCTTTCCAGAACGATGATTCTGTCTGTCTTCTTTCCAAGTGCTCTTGTTTGTACGCACTGGCTGATGAAAGTGCGTTGTGGTGTTTTAGAAACAACTACACCACTTTAAAAAAAACGCAGCAAAATCTTTAGCGTGAGGAAGACGTGAACCCCTTAAAAAGCAAATGCTCTTTTACTCAAAGTTCTAGCAAGTATGTTGAATTTTGCCACTATTTACGTAGGAAGCCAGTATCTGTATGAGTACAGTGAGGTGCAAGTTTACTTAAAACCAGCCTTTCTGTTAGCACCTGACAAATCAGCAAACTGAAGTTGTGATCTTATTAAGGACTATCTCTCTTTTTTTTTTTTTTTTAATCTGGCCTTTTGTTTTGACGTGTACTTTACTTATCACTTCGATTAGAATTTTTATATGCATTTCTTTGCTTACATCTACTCTGGAAACTAGCCATTCAGGAAGTCCTTGAATCGTGAGGGTTAGTGGAAACTGATCTTTCAGAGCTGCCTATGTTCATTGCTTTTTCTCTCCCATGAATCATTCTGGCATGATGAATGCTGACTCTTCCCCTATAGGAGGAATTGCAGAGTGACAACTTTGGAAAAAAGAAAAACAGAAGTGGCCAACAAAGGGGTTTTTTTGTTTTCAAAAATATGTTTCATTTTTAGATAGTCTGAAAGTTTCGTTGTGAAAATGCCACATTCTTATGCAATTATTTACGTGTGGCATACTTCACTGATTGGACCCGATTCTAAACGGTGATGGTTCATAGTTTCTCTAATCATGGAAGGTTAAGCTAGAGTCTAATGACAGGTAACAGTTAAAACTGGAGTATATTCATTTATTTTACGTTCTGGATCAATTTAACTTAACAATATAACCGAAGGTACTGATACCTCTAACAAAACCAGGACTGAAGACCAACACCTACAGTTCCTAGAGAAACTCAACAGACTTTGAAGGCAGCCTGTGTGTTACCAGTAGAGCTCAATCATTTTGCTTTTAAGATTACTGATGTGATTTTAATACATGTTACACCGGTCCAAATCAAGCTACATTTAAAACATATTCTCCTTGCCTTGTTGTTTGTGGGAATCATTGTGTCATTTGTGCAATTAGCTTTCAAAACCAAGAATCCTGGCTGGCTTTCAGCACACGTTGATAGCATTTTTTGAATTAATGTTTCTTAAATTTTTTGCTCCTCAATGTATGAGGCAGAAAGACAATCCTTGGCCAGTCAGCCATGTGGAGAAATCCTATTTTTTCTTCAGATGTAACTTTAAAGATTAGCTAACTAATGATGATATATAGTGCAAATTAAGTATTTAACATTCCAAAACATATCGATGTGTTTGAATTCAGCTCACCATGTAATCTTCCTTGTTCCTCTTGGCTGATGCACAGTCAAAAGTTCCATTATGTACTATTGAATTTGAAACCAGATTAATGTCTCAAACTTTTCTTTGTTAATAAGTTACATGATATTAGGGAGAAAAGTAGCTTTTTGAAATAATTGGTTATTAGATTGCAAACAACCACAAATACTGCCCCTATAAGAGTCTTCTACTGGCTTCTCATCAGCATAAATGCATTACAGCATAAATGGCGTAATTAGAATTGTTCATTAGGGAAAGGCTTAAAGGCTGGAGTCTTTAACCAGAAACTAACAATAATGATAGCATGATAATTATTCTCTAGCATGCCCACATTTACCAGACTGAGTAGGCTATTATTTTAATGGCCTGCCTTTTCCTTGGGATGATCGTAATGTATTTGTATCAGAGTATGCTTCACGGGAAAGCGGGGTTCCTCACTGACGCCCCTCAGCCATCACTGTGCTCCAAGGACATGGTCCCTACAGCGAGAGCACACAGGGACTGGAAACCTGTTGGCTCTTGTCACCACTCCTACAGAGCAGTGCTGGGACTGTCCTGCTGTTCATCAGCCACTGAGGATGCTGCACAGGAGCAGTGTTGTGCAGTAACAAATGTCTGAGGACTGTCTTACTTTGATTTCAGGTCATTTTTTATTATGTTTGGTTGTTACTAACTAGCGTTAGTTTGCTTTAGTCCTCTTTGTTTTAGTCAAAAACCTTCTATTTTGTATTGAATTCTTCAGGTCACGGCTCTTTGCTTAGAGCAAAACATAATTAAATTTAGCTGGCAGTAAAACAAAGACAAAAGGAGGGGAAAAGAGCTTGTAATGTTTTTTTCCCCTGATGTTACTCACCTAGAAGGAAGCAAATTACTTTTCAGAAGATGTTTCAAAAAGCTGATCTTACGAAGCAGTGAGATAGCATAACCATAGAGGCCAGATAAAAGTAATCATTCGTTTTCTGTCCATTTTTGAGGTATTTTTTTATACTTGACTGTGCTTATGCAAAATCCAACCCTGCATACGCGTGAATTTGTAATGGTAGCTGCTCTTTAAAAGCCCAGTGACAGATGGTGAAGTTGCACATCTGAACCATTTAGCTTCTGAGATTCTCCAGCATTCATGAAACCTTGCAAGGTGAGCTTTAAGGTAGTGTCATCTAACAGAGCCGTCGTTTGTTGTCATTTTGCAGTGGTTCCAAATGGTTTGAAGGTTGGGGCTAGCAAATTTGTGTGCGGTGGAACCGTTACCCTTGTGCGACAGCACTGCCTGCTACATGCATCTAGTATCCCACCTTCTGTTTCTCCCTCTATTGCTTTTTAAGTCGTCAACACAGTTACTTGTTCGGGGGAGCAAGGTGGTTTGTTTAATTTCCCCAACGGCTAGAAATCATCTGCGCTTCTCTGGAATGGTTTGGCTTGCTCTGCTGAGTAACTAAGGGGCGACTTCTCGGGAGTAGCCACAACAGGGGCAACTTTCCTCAGCGCTGAACTTTTTTTTTTCCCCCCCTTAATTTCACCTATCAGTTCGCAACGGGCATTATGAAAGGCACTGCATTTGTACAGCTCTCCGGAGTTTGCTGACCCAGCCGGCACAGGCAGTGGTTTGAGCCGTGGTGTGAGCTTAGGACTGGATAAATTCATGCCTTCGGGTTTCTCCTCTCCCCGTTTTTTTGTGCTCCAAAGCAACACCGCTGCCCCGGCATATTCAAGGAGGTGCCCTCAAAGTTTGTTTTTACATACACGCTGTTTTCAGAGGAACGCGCGCTCTCCTCACCTCACAACCGCCGCGCAGAGCCGGGTACCGAGACGGCGGC